CATTTACACTTTCTGTATCATGTCTTAAACAAATCTACTAATAAAAACCAGAAATCTTGTTTTACCTCCAAAGGCCAGTACTGATAATGACGTGGGTGATTCTGATGACATAGGTATTCATTTGGTATGAGAACATTCTTTACCAAGTGTTCCAAAAAGTAGAATTGAAGATAAACCTTTCCTAAACAGAAATTATGATCTGAAATTAGAATGAAAGTAGTGAAGCCATGTACCCAGAATTCACCATAGAACATAAAATAAATTCTAAGTACTTCAAATACATCTGTGTATGGATCCGTTCTAACAAATGTAGTATAGGAGATAAAGAAATTGAATATAGGAAAGGATATGTGAGAGGCTCTTTTGATCAACACCATAAGATGCTACTGTTACGGCTGGCACAACACAAAATAAGATGAAACAGATTCTTAGAAAATAAAAGTTGAAGAAAAAGATTACATGTAATAACGAAAAGTGGGTTTTATTTAACATATAATACAATATTTTTTTTATAAACAGTCAGGCTGAGGTTTAAACAGTATAAGCTAGGAAATGCTAACAAGTTACTAAGTTTGTGAGAGCCAAGAAAGTAGTTGGCTTAACGTGTAACTATATGAGGGAGTAGGAGAAGGAAATCCTTATACAGTTAAGATTAAGGCGATGGATGGGAATTTGTCGCTAGTCAAAGAATCATATTATTTTCTTCTTAGAAAAATAGATATTCACATGTATATAAAATAAAGGAGTTTGGTCAATAATATCAAGGAATAAAAGGCGAAGTATTTACTGATAGTCTTTTCTTTTGTGGACTGTTTGAACTTAGATTCTTTTGGTCGAAGCTTTGTTCATGAATCAAACGAACCAGAGTCGACCACAATGGACATGGCTGTGTGTTCAGGAGACAAACTGACTAGTTGGTACAAATTCTTGTTTATATATGTTTACTCTCTAGAACCCAGTAGAAGTTTCTAGAGACTTCTAGAAAGTTCCATTCTATTATTATGAATCTAAAGGGTTTGGTGAATGGGAGCTCTTTGTAAGGTAAAAAGGGCATTTGGTAGCTACAGATTTAAGTCATCATTTTAAGCTAGGTTTTGTATTTTATAGTGTAAGTGTAAAGAGGTAGGGCAAAATGGGGCCTTGTAACACTACAAAAGAAAAAGATTAACCTGAGAACTCAATTCATGTTCTCAAATAGGCTTGTCAGATCCAGACTTTCATATGTGAGTCATGTATGACATTCAACTCATTCCAAAATGTCTAAATTATCATCTCCGTACAACTGCTTTCTCAATTCAATGATTAAAAATGGCTTCAATCCTTTCGGTTTTAAGGAACATGACCCTTCATCAGCTCTTACAACGTGGCACTAAAGAATCACAAACAAAGAGATTTAGCAAATAACAAATACCACATCACTTGAAGACTTCCAACAGCAGCAACAACAAAAATAAATGGATAGCATATATAAGTAGAAGGGAAAATAAGGCTGGAATCAAGATACCATTAACCTGACTAATATTTATGAATGTTTTTAAATTTAAAAATTCTGAAAAACTAATGACATTTTTACTTCTGTTTATAAATACTATCCCTGAACCTCTTCACCAGGGGATAAGCATATTAAATCTAAAAAAAAAACTTTATATAAAATTCACTATTTTTTTATCCATAATGTTGAATGTGTTAAAATTATTCAACTTTTTAACAAGAAAAGTCTCAAGTTGATGTTAAAAATTGCTGCAAAACATTGTTGATTTATTTAAGATGGAATGATCTATTACGACATGTCTCTAATTTCTTTTTAAATACATTGGATTTATTTTCAATTTTTCTAGTTGAATTGTTCACGTATATTGCATATGATCCATTATTGTACGTAATTAGGTTACAATAAAATTTGTATTTTATATGAATACTACGTTATGAAAATTGAGATGTAGTAGAGTGGGGGGGGGCACTGTATCATTGATTTGATGGGGATCATAGATTCAGTAGGGGCTGTATCATAGATAGGGGGCTATGAGACCCTTGCCCCCTCCGAATCCTTGTTGCTTAATAAAATCCTTACATTTGCTTTGATAAGGTCTTTCAGAGGAAAAAACGTTTTGGTTAAGATAAGCTTTGCCTTTTGTCTTTATCCATATATATATATATATATAGATATAGATATATACATACATACATGGCTAAAGCAACTCATCAGGATCTATAAAAAGGAGCTTTCTCTCCTGATGACTCTGAGTAACTCAGTCAGACCCACCCATAGTCCAGAGAAATTGTTCCTACTCTGTGGGTTGTAAGTGTTTCTGTTGTCTGTCTTCCACATTCTTCCCTTTCCTACACTATACCACACCACACCATACCATAATTTAAAGCCTATGGGATCTCATTGGTGTACCCAAATAAAAATATTGTCAGCCACCTGCCTGACCCCAGTAAGCACAAATATGTCAGCCCACCTAGAAGGACAGGGGACAGCTAATGGATTTGACGTTTGAACTAGTTTTGTCTTTGTTTCGAAGATTCCAACATCACCCGATGTCAAACATTCAGACTTTGATGATAACACCAAAAATATTAGAAAGAATAAACACACACACACACACACACACACACTGGAAAAAAATGCAATAGTTCCATAATCCATTACATGAATTCTTGTACAATTTTTGTTCAAGGATGAAGCACTTTGCTTGAAATGTAATAAAGATCTTGCTTAAGGTACTCTGTCACAACATCAGAGCCACGTACAGGTTTTGAATTCAAAGTTTTCCTACACCTAGACTGATTGCCAACCATCGATAGAGAGCCCAGTCTGCTCTGTTATTTAACCCATAGCAGGGGAACAAGAGATGAATTCATACTTTTCCCAAGGGTATTTGTGCATTAGTGAATGTAATGAACCTAACTGGAAATCAAACTTTGTTCTCTGATTTTTCATTCCAAACTGCTATCCAGAACTCTCCCCACATATATCCATAGTGTGCAATGTATTAGTTCTAGATTATTTTGCACATTATAAACAATCAGAGATGTGGGCTGTAGTGATATATTTGAATTGCCAAATTTGAATATTCAAATAAAGAGAATATTAAAAAAAAAAAAAAGAGATTTCTGAAGAGACTTCTGATTACCATTGATCCAATTTAAAGTATCACATGAACCATTCTTGTTGATAAGCAAATTTGATTAACTATCAATAAAATGTTGAATTTTATTAATATTTTTATATCTGTGGTGCAAAGTTTAACTTGTCCATTATTATTATTACTAATTAATTAGTAATTCCTTTCATTGTAATTTTAATATTTACTTTTTATTGCAACTGATAATCTATGATGGTATTTGAGAATTCAGGCTCAAAAAATAAAGGATGATAAGTTGTCAGACTTGAAGTCAATGAAACCCACTTAAATGCTGCTGCTGCTGCTGTTCTAGCTGAGCTACAGGATAAACAACTGTCAGTGGCTTGAGAAAATTTTCAATAAAAATCAACTAAAAATTAAAATGAAAGAAATTATGAATCCAAATTTAATAATAATGTTTGCTCATCATTCATCTAATAAAAATGAAATACAAAAAAATAATATAGAACATCACAAAACGAAATATATTTTAAAAAGCAGGAAGATCACGTATCACCAATCTTCAAAGTGAAGTAGGCCTTTTTTAAATTTTAATAGTGGAAAATATCCAACTATTTCTGCTGCAAACTAAGCTTCTACATAATTAGCTTAGTCTGGCACAAGGCCATAAGTTTTGGCACACCTAATAATAATGTTGCACAATTTCTGCTTGTAGCAGATTGTGAACGCATGTACTATTTATTTTTAAGAATTTTAGTCATTGTAAATTTTCTAGTTGAGACATTTCATCAATTAGCTAGGCTGCTGGGGGACAGGTGGACATTTCTGTTTTTTCTTTTTTATTGAGACACCATCTTAAGATAGATTGCCAATCAAGGCTAAGCCATTTTTACCTACCCATTAGCTAAGAACTTGTAACTTTGGGTTAGGACAACTATCAACAGATTCCAAACAGCACCCTCTATCCAATTCCACTCTCAATTCTGGTTAACTCATGGGGTAGGATTTTTAGGCATTTCTCAACAATGACACATGTTTGCATCTTCTCTTCAGGCTGATATTACCATGAAATCACTTCCTTGACTATGGTGAGATTCAAACCTGGATTCCATAAAGAGAGCCATTTAACCTTTTATATACCAAGTAAGCACCTAAATCATAAGACTAGGAACTATCAGCAAGACTACCATGCAAACTGCCATTCCATAGCAATGGAGTAACATTTAAAATCTTTATTTATATCATCTTCAAAACATTATTTACATTAATAGCAAATGGCAAACAATAACACAAAAATGTGTCCGTACTTAATTGATTTTCCGTTGACAAAAATTTGAATCTTTTTTCATATGATCCCTAATGCATAATCAACTTATAGACAGTATGAAAGAAACTTTGAAATATATGCATATAGTTGATCAATATTTGGTTAAAAAAACAATATTATCTCCATATTGAAAGAATGAAAAGATTTTTTTCTTTTAAATTAACCTATCTAATCAAAATTTGAATATCAAAGAAAATATTATCTTCATATAGAAAACATGAAAGGAACTGAAAAACAGATTTCTAGCTAAACATTTGAATTACAAAAACAATATTATCCTCATATAGAAAGGATAAAAAAAACTAGAAAAACAGGCTTATAACAAATCAATATTTGAATAACAAATATAAAAAGGATAGAAAGAATTCTGAAAAATAGGCTGAGAGCTAATTGATAGTTGAATAAGAAAAAATATTAAAGATGAAAAGAACTATGAAAAAAACAGTTTATATCGAATCAATATTTGATTAAGAAATAAAAGAAAATCTATGTTGTCTCCTATTAATATGGCATTCTGAGAATCAAAATGAATGAAACTGAAAACTTAATTTACAAAATGTCATTGTGTACAAGATACACAGATCCTGAAAACATCAGTTCTCATTCAATCACCAAAGTTAAGCATTGTCAAGCCTGGTCAGTACTTAAATGGGGGATTGCATGGGAACACCAACTACTGTAAACAACCTACTACAATCCAAAATATATTTTGGCTTTAAATATCACACAAAGTGTTGATAAGCCATTAAAAATAAATCATCAAACCAATTGGTGAAATTCAAAGGGAATTCTTTATTATGAATTGTTGGATCCTGGACAGATAGTTATTGCACCAATGCTACAATGAGCAACTGGCTTGTTTGAATGTCACATTGGAAGGAAAAGAACTTTTTTCTGGTAAGGAAACTGGCCACTGATTTGGCTGTATATTTCAAATGTGATAGGTATGTACATATATATATATATATGTGTGTGTGTAGGTAGGTATGTACATATATATATATATATGTGTGTGTGTGTAGGTAAGTATGTATATATATATATGTGTGTGTAGGTAAGTATGTATATATATATATATATATATATATATATGTATGTATGTAGGTATATATATATATATATATATATATATATATATATATATATATATATAGGTAGGTATATATATGTATGTATGTATGTATAAGTAGGTATGCATATATATGTATGTATGTATAAGTAGGTATGCATATATATGTATGTATGTATAAGTAGGTATGCATGTATATGTATGTATGTATAAATAGGTATGCATGTATATGTATGTATGTATAAGTAGGTATGCATGTATATGTATGTATGTATAAGTAAGTAGGTATGCATGTATATGTATGTATGTATAAGTAAGTAGGTATGCATGTATATGTATGTATGTATGTGTAAGTAGGTATGCATGTGTATATATGTATGTGTAAGTAGGTATGGATGTGTATATATGTATGTATGTATGCTTATGGATGTGTATATATGTATGTATGTATGCTTATGGATGTATATATATATATATATATATATATATATATATATATAGTTGTATATTTAGGCAGCAATCCTTCGTTTATGCACGTTTCATTAAAAATGACAGACAAGGTACTATGGTTAAGCTTTTTATTTAATTTTTCTTGTGTTCAAACAAGAGCTTTCTTTTCTGGACAAAGAGTGTATAAAAACTGTCTAAATATTTTATAGTTCCAAGTGCTTTTAGCTGTACCTTTAGCCATTATCAAGGATGATTCGATTTTTTAACTTAATTGAGTGTGTGCTTTATGTGTATGTCTTAGTGTGTTGTAGGGATGTTTTAATTTCTGAATACAGTTAGCACATTGTGGCCTTGTTCGTAGTTAATATTGTTAAGAGTTGGCTTCATTTTTTTTTTTTATTAAAGCTTCCATTATTTTTAATCTTTTTTACAGGTGGATGCAGTTATTATATTTGTGTTTTCTACTAGTGTGTTTCTAATAGTGTCTGGTAAGTTTGTGTGTGTGTTTAAACTCATAGATAATGTTCATTCTTTGTAATTTTGTTCAAATGCCCCTTAAGAAACTGTGTTCCTGATCAAACCGGACTCATAAATAATTACATCGGTTACACAACTACAAGCTTATCCAGACGCCTTATGTTACACCTATCTGATCACAGCTCCATTAGAAGCCATTTAAAGACACACACAAACTTACCAGACTCTATTAGAAACATACTAGTAGAAAACACAAATATAATAACTGCATCAATATTAACTACGAACAAGGCCACAATGTACTTACCGTATTCGAAAATTAAAACATCCCTACAACACACTAAAACATACATAGTGCACACACTCATTTAAGCTGAAAAATCAAATCATCCTTGATAATGGCTAAAGGTATAGCCGAAAGCGCTCAGAACTATAAAACATTTGGACAGTTTTTACACATTCTCTGTCCAGAAAAGAAAGCTCTTGTTTGAACACAAGGAAAATTAAACAAAAAGCTTAACCATAGTACCTTGTCTGATGTTTTTAATGAAACATGCATATATATTATATATATATATGTATGTATGTAGGTGTATGTATGTATATGTATGTAGGTGTATGTATGTATATGTTTGTATGTATGAACAGACACAGACTTTGTATTTCGAATCTGTCTATATTTCTGAGATGAGGTATTATGTACACTATTTACATTATTCAGATTATTGACCTCATCTTTGTCACCATATTTATTACAACATTTCAGCCTTTCAGTATCTGTCTATATTTCTGAGATGAGGTATTATGTACACTATTTACATTATTCAGACTATTGACCTCATCTTTGTCACCATATTTATTACAACATTTCAGCCTTTCAGTATCTGTCTATATTTCTGAGATGAGGTATTATGTACATTATTTACATTATTCGGACTATTGTCCTCATCTTTGTCACCATATTTATTACGTTTCGGCCTTTCATTATCTGTCTATATTTCTGAGATGAGGTATCATGTACACTATTTACATTATTCGGACAATTGTCCTCATCTTTGTTGCCATATTTACAATGTTTCGGCCTTCCGGTATCTGTCTATATTTGTGAGATGAGGTATCATGTACACTATTTACATTATTCATACTATTGTCCTCATCTTTGTTGCCATATTTATCACAACATTTGCTTTCTAACAATGAGACTCAGCTTTGAATCTATCCATGGTTGATTTGTCTTTGAGGTGATAAAATTGGATGAGGGATGCACTTCCCATGTGCAGCACCTTTGGAAGTTGACTGAAAACCACGCCTTGAGTTCACCTAAGCCTTTCAAGTGAAGTTGGGTGGACAATAATGTTTGGAAGCCAACAATGGTTGTATTAGTACAAAGTCACAAGTCATTTTAACCCAGGATTTGAGCATACTGATGTTCTTCAAATTAGTGATCACACCAGATTATGCGCTCTCTCCCAGGAACTGAAACTGTAGTCCACATAGTTGCAGTATAAGCCACAGATGGGCTGTCTCAGTGTTGAACACAAATGTGCCTGAGCAGGTGTCTACAAAAGGAATTGGATAGCAATGGGTGGGTGTGGAAACAAGTATCCAACCATTATTATGCATGCACACAGTACTATCAAAATTCCATTCTTTATCAAACTTTGTATTGCTTTTTGTTCTTGATACCATATTTCAACCAATCCAATCTCTAAGAAAAGAATGGCATCTCTTTTCTTCAGAGACTGATACCAAACAGAAATGATATCATTGTGCCTACTTGTGTATAAATATGGAAATACATGTATTAAACAGATTTTTCAGAATGTTATCATCTGTGTACCTGACATTGCTGGAAATGAACCAAATTGGTTGCTACTTTTGCAAACATTTCTTTCGTGTACAATATTTATATATGGAGAATAAATACCTTTCTTCATTCAGACTGGACACCTGAAGAGGATTGGAAACTGGGCTGGTTGAATCTTTGTAGTAATAACAAAAACAACACAAACAACAAATTTAATTATCCAAACTCTCTGAAGTACTGAAGATCACATATGTAGGATCAGTTTATAAACATTCAGTCAAATTTTTGGCAGACAGCAATGAAAAATTTTGAAAATGTTGCAAAACAAATATTTATTTTTCCTCAAAATATCTAGAACTAAGGAGAACTCTGATTTATTTTACTAAGGTAATCAAAGATTTGTAAAGAATTCTGTGTTCTTGCAATGCCAGACAAGACCTTTTTTAAGTATTAAAATGATAGGGCAATATAGAAATTAAAAATGCCTCCATATTCAAATTTAATTGAGTTCAGGGCTTGAGAATTAACAAAGAAGAAAAGCTATTCAACTATGTGTCTCACTCTTTATACTAAGCAGCCTTAAATTGGAATGAGAGACAAACCCATGTGCAGGAAAGGTGAGGAGTTGAAATATGGAGAAGAGGTAATAAAGATCCTTATCAGATACTTCAGCCAGAAATGTGTGTGTGTTTTCTTTTTTGGACTGCAGTTGTTAACATCTGGTGGATTTGAAATTTAGCCCACTCCAAGAGGATTTCTGTTTCTTTCTCTATTAGTTCATATGCAACATTGTGTTGCTAATATTTTCAAAATGATAGGTGATATTTTATATGAAGTCTGATTGAAAAGAGAAGAGAATATACTGAGAAGAAAATCCATTGAAAGTACACTGATCTCACAATCCTCTATGATCCGACTGGGCTTATATATAATATCACAAAAATATCATTTGCACAATGTGACATCCAAAATAATAGAGATAAAAAAAAGCATTGATCTATTTGCAGACGCTAATGGCTTTAGTCTAAAAAAAAAAAAGGAAAAGCAAAAGACAAAACTGTCTGCAGCATTTAATAAGGATCTTTATTACTTCTTCCTGTATCTGTAAAAAATGACATGATTATTTTATTTACATATTGATCAGCATAACTTTTGCTTTAGATCAGTATATTTTTGTGTTTTGTCTCAGATCAAAATGTTATTCTCTGGCTCCCTAACATCAGAGTGCTAGTATATCATAATCCCAAGTCTCATCACCCACTAGAGTCGTATGGGTACCACATATACTACAGTCACAGTGGTATTTCCTGGGCAAGTTTGTCTGAGCGCAACCCTCCCTAAGCTGGTTTGAGATCAGAGTTTTCATTCCCCTGGACCGGTTGCTACCCAAGGCTATAGGACCCTGCTATTTTATCCATAGATGGGAGTAGAAGAGATGGATTCATAGGCTGTCCTCAAAATGTATACTCATTTCACAATCTATTTTAAAGACTAGTTTAAACTTAAATGTAAGGTTTCATTTTTTTTATTGTAACTGAGAAAATTATAAAATTATTCTAATCCCTGTCTCTTACGGACATATGCGATTATAGCTCTCCACACGCTCCATTGATTAAAAGGGTTGATAAGTCGTTTTCTGTGGCTTATCAATCCATTGCAGGTTATTTAAAGCCAGAAAATATTTTTAGCCTGTAAGAAATTTTTTGAGATAATAATGATTTAATGATACAAGTCTTACTATTTAACCCATAGCTGGGGGAGAGGTAAATTCGTACTTTTTCCAAGTGCATTTGCGTGTAAGGGAATATAACAAACCCAAAGGCAATCGGAACTCGGCTCGCCGATTAACAATTCCGAGCCATTATCCATTACACCA